GAGTTTTAGGCAATCACCCCCTTAAACTGCATTAATCAAATCATTGTGACATTCTGAAAATCCAAAGAGCCACCTAATTTCAAAGACAGTGTAAATCAATTGTCAGTTCTGACTGGCTTTAAATTATGCCCTGTTCTTGGGGACTGGAAACCTGTAAATCCAGAGGTACACCTGAATACATGGCTTGTTATTAAGAGATATGCCCCAGGTGGAAGCATCTTCAAAGCCAATATATTTCCTTTATAACTGGTGTCAAATTGATGTATATATTAAAAACCTTGGAAAATGATCTCAAAAAGGAAGTAACAGCCCAAGGAGCCATATGTTCAGGGAACCTAACAGGTTTCCATTGGGACCAAATTTCACTTCACCTTTTTGTCCTTATGTGCAAATAAAAACTTATCTATAAATATGCCATTAAAAGAGTCATGCAGACCTGTGAGGTCTGTAGATTTAGAAAAATTACACTAACTTCACCAAAACCAAGTTGTTGGCAGATGAAGAATTTGATTAGATATTAGAACAAAACATGCCATTGAGCTACATTTATTTGAACTCTGTACATTTTATGTCTTCAGGGACACATTATTTCTATACGATTGGCTAATGAAGAAAAAGAATAGTTAATACATTTGCTTAATTTTGATGTTGATGGAGCATTTGAATTTTCAGTTCACAATAATACACAGAAAGTTAAATTTTTTTTGTTTTTAACTAGGCTGCTATTTTAACATATTTAGATAGCTGGGAAATTTCCAAATGTCAGCTAATTCTCTAGCACCTAAAAGTCTAGGCTCTGCTAAGGACAAAAATCAACTTAGTGGTTTTGCAAAGATTGGAAACCAAAATGTATTGACATTTATTTTTTTAAAATATTTTGAATAACTTTTAAGAATTTTCCGTTCAAAAACTGTCTAACGTTTTGTATTATTTTGGTAGATCTTATCAACTTTACATTGATTACTCTGTTGGATTGACTGGGAATATTCTAAAAGGAAAAATGATTCACTCTGTATTTGTAGTTAGTAGTTTTACATGAGTAGGACCAATGATAATATAAATATACCAGGTTTTACTCAAATCATTTAAATTTTTGGGCACTTTTATTAATGAAATATTACAGACAGAAAAATAGAAATAATATCAATGAAGTCATTGTGCAAAGATGACTGAACTTTGTCACACCTGTATATTTTAAAGGTTCTTTTTTTTAACTGGGCTACATTGTATCTAAAGTTATGCACAAGGTGAGAGCTAGCAGGAAAAAAATTGGTGCCTGATAGAGTATTATTTTCCAGCTGCTTTTCTTTTCCATCCATGGTTTGAGAGAAGGGAGTTTTATAATGTTAATTTAGACACCTGGTTAGCTAACTAGCAGGAGAGCATTGAAAGGGATCGCATTTTCGCTCTGTCCCAGTTCCTACCAGTTCTTTTTGTAGTTGAATCCTGTTTTCTCTCACTCAAGCTATAACCCCGTCAATATTTCTTCCTCTCTGGGGTAGAGGACATAAACCGTCCTAGTAAAAATATTTTAATGCTGGGGAGTGTATGTGTGTGTTTGTGTATTTTAAGTTCTACAGTTAGGTTTAGGTTCAGAAAGTAGGGGCCAGTTATCCCGCCTTCCGTAACAGGTAAAGAACACCTTTTTCAGTGGAGACCCGCGCTCCGGCCAGGCCTCTGTGTAGCATAGCCACCGCGCTGCTGCCAGGCCAAAGCAGGGAGCTGGGCGGCCAGGCACAGAACCGGGGTTCGAACAGGCGTCCGGGCTCCGGGCGGGCGTCCCCACCGTCCCGGCTGCAGGGGTGGGCCGCCGCCCGGAGGGCTCCTCTCGGCAGACTCTCATTGTTTCTCGGGTCAGGAGGTCAGGCCTGGACGCGCAGCTGATGCCAAGCCCCTGAGTGTGATTAAATCGTGTGCAAGTCGTTGTGGGCCTTGGGGACACAACGCGGGAAAACTTTGTTGGGGCGGTCCGAGGTGGTGGTGGGGGGGTGACCTCGCTCCACGCGCCGCCGCCGGGAAGGGACGCGCGGCGCGGCTGCTCCTGGGCGCGCTGGGCGTGCAGGAGGCCTGGGGTCCGGGGTACGCCTGCAGCCGTCCAGTCCAGGGCCGCTGTTGGCGCACAGGCCCGGCCTTCTAGAAGTTCGACTCACTAGGCAAAACAACAACCACCACAACAAAAATAAATCAAAAACAAAAGCCAATGGGCGCGTCTCCACGAAGCCGTGATTCTGAGGCCACGGGTCCTGGGCGCAAGGCCCGGCCCCCCGGGGGCCCACCTGCGCGGGGCTCGGGCCGGCGCGGGTGGGACGGTGCGGGCCTGGCGGAGGGACGCGGGTGCGGCGCTGGGTTGCTCTCGCCAGCGGCGGGAAGGGCGCGCGGGAAAGCGAGGGAGCAGGAAGCGGGCGGCGGCGGGCCCGCTGGAGGAGGGAGCGCCGCAGGCGGGAGGAGGGTGCGCGGAGGAGGGAGGCCGGGAGGAAGGAGGGAGCGCGGCAGGCAGGCGGAGGGAGGGCTGATTAGCATGCAGCAGCGCTCGCGCGCCCGGCTCCATTGTTTTAACACCTCCCCTCTCCTCCGCGCCAATCTGTCACCGTTCAGCAGGCGAACGCTGCTGCCTCAAATGCTGCTCTTCTCAAATGAGACGGATAATTAGTTGCCCCGCACGAATGCCGCACTCTTCTCACCCCTGATTGCTATCACCTTCTTGCTCCTGGCAGTTTTGACACCTCGTAATCAGCCTGCTGCTTTTCTCTTTTCTTCCCGACTTCTGCTTCCCTCTCCCCGCCCCACCCCCTCTCCTTGCTAGTTGATTTATTTATTTATTACTATTATTTTAAATGCAATCCTGGTGCCTATTTGGACAAGTCCCTCGCGGAGTTAACGTCCTGCGTGTACGTGTGTGCCTCTATCTGTATATGTAAGCGAGGCTGTGTGCGTGAGCTGGGGGCGGGCCGCAGCTTTGCGAGGAAACGCGGCTTGCAAGCGGAGCGAATTCTCTACTCGGGATATTTTTGGGGAAGGGAGGAGTTGCGGAAGACGGACGGCAGGGAAGAGTTGGGGAGACCTCAATTAATGCTCTAAAGATCTCTTAGAAATTAACTGGGGAGTCTCAGAATCTGCTGTCAGGAGCGTGTTTTCCCCGCTCTCCTCTAACAAGCACTGACAGTCTAATTACTGTAGCTACAAGCAGCTGTCGAGGCAGCAGCCCGGGAGAGAAGCCACGGGCTGGGCGCACGGAGCTGCCCCCCTTGCACCCTTCGGGCCGTCGGGTCCGACTCCCGCAGAGTGCGGACAAGGCCCGGCCCGGCCCGGCCCGGCCCGGGTGAGCCCAAGAGCCAGCGGATACGCATATTATTGTTTCATGTTTATGAAGTCTTTACCTTGAAGGTTAAAAGATGTGCAAGAAAAAAGGAGGGGGTGTGGAGGTGGTGGTGGTGGGGCGGCGGGAAGAAAGCCTCCCGAGCTCCCATCCAGCCCTCTGCTACCTCCCTAAGCTCTCTCCCCCCACCCCCCGTGTTGGTAAAATAACCACGCAACCCGGGGCTGAGGGGGCGGGGTGCGCCAGGCTGGAGTGTAAGAAAGCAGATGTCCCCGCTGGCAGCAGCCTCAGCCTCCGGGGAAAGCTGCACCGGGAGGGCCCTCCCGAGGACATTCACCTCCCACTTCTCAGGCATCCCGCTCACAACTGCCTCGCCTCGGCGGGGGTGGTTTTCTCAGACTCAGCGTTTTGCGTGTGCAGCTTTTTTACCTGGGAGCTGTTCTTACCCGGCCACGCTTAGCAGATGCCAAGAGGCAGCCCCTGCACGACTCAGTCACAAGGAGACAGGGACAGACCAGGGGGGTAACCACTCCGCCTTTTCGAGCGGCAGCCAGCGGCCACCTCTGCAACTCGTGATGGCAGCCTGCTCGCCAGGCCGCCTCTGCTGTGGCCCGAGATTCTCTGGATTCCACAAGCTGGAGCTTAGGGTTCTGCTGGAACCCCAAGAAAAGATCGCCCTGCTTCTTACTAAAGCATTGATGGTGGTGTGTGTGCGAGGGATGGGGTGTGTGTGTGTGTGTGCTGCACTGGAGAGGAGGGGTCAGGGGTCCACATCCACATGAATAATTTTCTGCAAGTCCATGCCAAGGTATTTGTGAGACTCTCTTCCCCTTCTAGACAAGGTGAAGGAAAAAGAATTTCCTGTCAAGGGACAGGTACAGTGGTCCACTTTGGCTGGCACATGCTGGGAAGTTGGTATTTTAATCATCTTCGTGCAGTTTAGGAAGATTGAACCAGGAGGTAGGGATGAAGGGAAGGGACCTGGATGATTGTCTATGGCCACTTCCATTCAGCAATAATGGCAACAGAAAAGATGTACATGCCTTAGAACTCTTCAGAGAAGGTTGAATAACTGCTGTCACCTGGGTGAGGAAGATGTCAGTGTGATGTGCCCGGGCCGCGGAGAAGTGGAGGCACCGCTCCATCCTGTGCATGAGTGAAGGCTCTGTGTAACAGTCTGCTCAGCCTTCCCCCTCAGGAGCCCTCCAGCTTCAACCACTTCCTCCAAGAAGGTTTATATTTCTGTTTGAGTTGCAAATCAATGTTTACTTCCTAAAATGAGAGCCATGCTGCAAACATTTTTGAAAATCAAGAGCAAAGAAACCCAAAAGGCAAGAATCAAAGGGGAGAAACACAAAAGGGAAGTTTCATTTCAAACAGTTTTTGCAGTTTTCTGAGTCTAGTATCCTTCCTCTCAAATGTCTTCCAGTGGCCATCAATCAGGCTGCTAACAATGAATAACAAATTTCCCAACAAGGTTGTGAACAGTTCTAATCTAAATTAATAAATATGGATAGTCCTTGCAGGGATTTAAATTTGCTCCCATTAAAAACAAATGAGCCTTTGGAAAGTTTGGTTTAAAGAATTATTTTAACATTCAAAGTGACACCCTAATTGTAATAAATGTCACCAGATCTGGCCATCGCTCTGCAAATCAGTTACTGAAAAGAAGACATGAATTTTATAAATTTGTCTGAAATGTAATATATTTTTGTTTTACTCAGAACAAAGAACAGACTGATTTCCCATAAAAGTAATTCTTTTAATAATTAATTTATAATAAGTATGTAGCTATACACACAGTAAAAATTAAAACCACGTCTATTATTTGAAAAACAATCTCAAGTTTTTAAATAGTTCTATCAGTGATTTTATCACTGGGTAAACAAGCGTATAAGGGGTAACAATTAGACATTTATGCTGTCTCATTCTCAATTACAGGTTTATTCAGAAAGAACATCACCTATACATAAATAATCTAAACTTAAAAATGCAAAAACAGGACCCTATAAAAATCTGATATCACCAAATTCAATTTCATTAAAAACCCAAGTAACAAGCTTACAGAATTGAAATATAAATTATAGTAATAGAACTTTTAAATCACGCATTTTGAATCATAATAAAACTGTAAACATGCCCAAAATGAATTACAGTTTTTTACATAATGATCTTTTATAGGATAATAAAAGTTACAAAATGAGTCTAGAAAAAATTCAAATAGCTGTGACACTAGATTTTTTTCTATAAATGATCTTGAATTTAGTTTACAATCAAGTATTTATAGTATTACAAAACCCAAAAACATCTCACAGAAGTTGATATGTTTGTTTTCAAATGTGTCTTAAGTCTCCCCATTAAAGTGTGAATTAAGATGCCGGAGGAAATCCCCCCTGGATGTAATAGATGGTGGGAAAACTGCTTGACAGAATTCACATACTCGAGGTATATGCAGTTCTGAATCTGTGCCACTTAGTACCACTAAGTCATTTTCTTGATTAGGAAAGGGCTTCCAAATAGGCTGCAGGAAACAGATAAAGACATCTTCTGTTATTTGTATTCAAAATCAACTTGCATTTAATTTCAAATTCAATTTTTGTGCAGGAGTTTATGTACGAGCAATAGATGAAGTTCTCTAATATTAAAGCAAAATACACAGTTTTCCATAGAGCCAGCTTTAAGACATGGCTCAATTCTTTTTTTTTTTAATCAAGTCACAACTAAACTTTGATTAAGAGAAGCATTCAAAATACACACTTATGCATTTCATCTTTCTATATTACAGAGTACTGTAGCTTTAACACCGGCTGCTTTTAGCCCAACTGTCTCACAGTGGTAGTTTTCAAACAACAGTCACTACTACTTTAGACTTTGAAATTAAATTCTTTTCTATTTTACAAATGAAATCTTAGTAAGACCTTTTAAAATACATGGTGCATTAGACAGGATATGTGTATGTGCATACATGTTAATGAAAAGTAATTTAAATTTCATTGCTATTTAAAAGCAAACACAATGAATAAATCATGTATGAATCAGTGTTATTTTGATTTAAACAATTTTCTCTTAAACTAAAATTCTATTGATTAGTTATTTTTGCTTTTGAAGTATCAAATAATTAATCTTTCAATGGAATTTAACATCATGTCCATTTTTGACTTATTTTGCTCTGTTATAAAGCAGGTTGGCCTTATTATTCATGCATATGGTTGAACAAAATGAAACCTGTCAAATTTTGCCCACTTAAAAGAAGGGAAATTATAACTTAGTAGGGCTATTTCTATTATAACCAGCACAAAAACACATCTATATAACCATATTCACCACTTTAGTTTTTAAAAAGTTCTAAACACAAAAGGACTGAGTTTAATATTAGGTGCTCAATAAACAGATGTGAATTAGAAAATACCTTTTCACAATTGTATAAATTGGATGATCTAAAGTTTTTTCTTTCTTACCTTAACACAAATATAATGCCTTGGCATAGTTACATTTTGAAACTCTGAAGAGAATCACCTGATAAACTGAGTTCACTTTACACTTCTATCACTAATATGTTCCTAATGAAAAAGCCTACTTTGACACCTGACGCAATGTTAATTTTCATTCCCTTAACTTTGTTTTAGTAACCTATCATTTACATAAATGGCATATTACTAACTGAAGAATCCAGCTTTTGTGACATCACTGTCTTAAACATTTTAGTGGGCAGCTGTGTACAGCTGGTGGAACTATATGTCTGTCGAGACGCTGAGACACATTCACATTTCAGTACAGGGACTTACGGTGACAGATGCAGTTCTTCTGGCAAAGCAACAACTTATCATAAAAATAATAATACTTTAGTGTTTTAAAACTAGGGTAAAATAATTTCATTTAGAACAATTTTCCTTTCAGGATACAGAAAAGTAGTGATTATGAGAATATAGAAAAAAGCCTACTTAGGTTTGACTAGATTCAAATTTTACTGTTTGCAGTTTAAACAACAAAGTAAAAGCCACTGTAATGGGAACTTGATATGGTTATAAATAAAAATATTATTAAAGGTAATTCTTATTAAGATCCATAAACTAGTGAGAAATTAACTGGGAGGCAGTTTAGTGTCTACATTTTCCAAACCATTCTTCCACTTACAATAGCTGTTTCTTAGGAGCTACTAGTTCAGATTTTCTCTTCAGAAAACTAAGTTGAAACTCCAATCACCGACTCAGCAAAAGAGAAAAAAATCACATAGGGCAAAAGTAATCTGATACATTTTAGTTTTGATAATAGAATTATAAGAGATGTATTTAGTAGTAATGACTGATATAAAAATTTGAAGTATATAACCAAAAATTTCACTTCTTTGCTATTATCTATAAGCAACTCAAGAATTGTGTACTTATGATATGGTTTTATTAATACAAATAAAATTCCAAAATGTTCTTAACAACCCTTTTTAATAAATATCTTTTTAATATGAAACTGTAACATGGCCTTCAAAACAAACTAATTTCTTTGCTTTTTCTGCCAAAATATCAATTATCTAACCTTATGCCCCATGTCTTATGACAGCTCAACACCAATTCTCCTGCATTTTTTAAGCTGAATACTGTCCCATCAAGTTGTAATCACATACCAGCTGTTTCCCTTGCTGTAGTATAGAAAGCAAATGTACAATGCAGGGTGCCATCTACTGAAACATGAATGCACAGACTAACTAGTAAAAGAACAAGCAAGAATAATGGTGAAAAAAGTAACAAGCTTTAGAACTGATGCACTTTACAGCTCCACAGGAATTCTACTTGCAATAAACGGAATTGTTTAATTTGTCTCACTTAGTAACAACTGTAACTGAGACCATGATGTAAAATAAGGTGCAATGTAGAACATAAGTGAGTTTATAATTAAAGCTTATTGTCAGCAATGCCTGGGTTTTCTCACTATTAAAATATACCACAGCTTGGCTACTGCCTTTTTTGCATGCTTATTTAAAAATCTGTAACCTATATGAATACTTAAAGCCAAAGGATGTTAATCATTTTTTTGTTTGTTTTTTTCTGTTTCCTTGCAAACTGTATATCTCAAGGAAGAGAAAAATCAAGAAATGTCTTGCCAGGTATATGGATGGATATTTACAAGAATTTGTAGCTTTACATGCTGTGTATTATAACAATTTATATTCTTCATTTGCCTTTGGGCATTAAATAAAAAAATTTATTCTGCAATAAAATCTAAATTTAAATAGGATGGTAGAAGTGGGCTGGGGAGCTGTTTAAGTAGTCCTGGAGCGTTAGAAATCTTAAATATTTGATTGAAATTATACAAATGCAGATATTATTTAAAAATATACATGCATGTTCAGTGACAGATTAGCAAGAGAGCAGTATCAAAACTAAACTACAGATCTACGTACAGTGTAACTGAGGAAGTAATGCAAGTATTAGTTGAAAATTTTCACTTATTATAATACACAGGGAAATATAATTATTTACTTATGGAAAATCATATTCCTATAAAGACAAGTATAATATAAATAAATTTAGTATAAAATGTGTTTTAAATTATGAAATTTAATAAAGAATTCTATTATCATACTGATGCTGAGCTTTGAATAAGGGACAAGGAAAGTGACAATATAATAGATATGGATAAGGCTGACATGTATTTTAAAATCTGCGACAAATTTCCAGGTGCTTTATAACAGAGCTTAATAATATTCATCTTTCAGAACTTCATGTCATTTATTATAGAACTTGCATGTTTTGTTGAAAGCCTTGACTTTAGCTACTTATTAGTTTAAAAAGGAGGTCTGGTAACCCAAAAGAGATGCGTATCTATGCATGTATGGCAAAATGTGTGTTCACACATAATAATACATTTGTTAATATAAAACAGTTACCTGCTGTGGTCCACGGATAGCTTTTCCTGGGGAACTGAGTGAGGGGAAAGGTGCATCAGACGAGTCCTGAGGTGGGAATGTATTTACATATAAAGCATTATGGTCTCCAGGTGGCAAGCGCGCAGCTCTATCCGGAGTTGTCCTGATACAAATGTTTACAAGATCTGAGGTTTTTGTTTTGTCAGTTGTTTTAAGGTTTTGTATAGCTGAAGCTATGGGGTCAATTCCCTGATTTTCCACTGCAGTTTCTTCAGTGTCAGCAAAGTGTCCTGGATTGTCTCTGAGCTCCATATTCAGTATGTCCTGGCACATTGCCTCCGATGTGGCAGCACCAAGGATGTTGGGGAGCTCTGAAGTGCTGTGTAAGAAAGTGGAGTCACTGTCCACAGGAGGAAACTTGACATTGAGTTTAGATAGCGACTCAATAGATGTGTCTTCTTCATCTCTGCCCAGTCCTCTTGCTGTGACAGATGTGATGCATGGTGTACCTCTATTTATATCATCTTTAGCCTGAGGCTTAAACAGTGCTTCTTGTTTGTCTGTTTTATCCGTACACTGTATAGGCACCGAACACTGTGTTTCTGCAGGGAAAATGAACACAAAAGGGAAACAGTCGTATTCAAATCATTCTTAAAAATCTGTTCAATCAGCTTTGGACAGATGAGTATTATTTTTTCCTATTGGTTTTTATGGCAACTGAAGACAGCGACTTTTATATTCACTACCATCTTACAGAGGAATATTAGCAGTCTCCAGCCGAGGAGCCTGGATGTTGCTGATCATTGCAGTTTATACACTTTGTTTCTTCTTCGGTCTTTTGCTGTAAGCTTTGTATCTTGTTCACAGTTACACTGCTCCATACTTAAAAAAAACATTTGCTTATACTGTATACATTAAAACATTTTGTCAGTAATGGAAGCTGAAGCTGTGAGTTTATTTAAATAAATTGTTAAAGGGAAAAAAAATCTTATAAATTAGGCCATTAATTATTTATCACATGAATTAGACAATTTACCTCTTCACTCCCTATATCACATTGTGACTTAAGTATCCAGGCACTTCAAAAAATTCATCAAAATTGAAATGAAAAGAAGTTTATTTTGGCACAAAAAACCACTGTTTTGAAATTCATCTGAATGCTCCTCTATCACTAATTGTTTAACCATTGTCAACTCTAGTTAGTCCCCGAGAGGGAGCGGGAATAGGGGACAGAGTGAAGGTTGGAGAGAAGGAAGGCAGTGGAGGCAAAAGAATGATGAAACTTTGCAATGCACTTAAGAAAAGTGCATGTGAACATATATGACCTCCATAGATGATAGTAGTTAACATGTAGGTATCAGGAAGTTGTCAGAGCTTCTGTAGTTCATTTACCTAGAAGCCACATACCCCAAAATTGACTTCTCCAGAACACAGCTAAACCTAAGAGCTGGAAAGTACGTCAGCAGACTATAAGCTCCACCAGTATATGCGGGTACCTCACAAAATTAATGCATAATGTAATTAAAAGGTAACATTTTCTGGTGGGATGGCTTTGAAGCCCACACATAGTTTTGTTTGCCTGTGTGTTTTGGTAATAGTATTTCCACAAACTTTCTGGACTATTTTCCTATGCATTCTACTCCTAGTCTCATTTTAGGGTTATTCTCGAAAGCTTGAGATTTCCCTGATTTGAACATGATTTAAAACAACAAATTAAAAGGTGATATGCTTTGTTAAAAGCAGAAACAGATATCAACAAGATGCACAGGAAATGACAAGACCATAAAAAGCAGAAAGAAACTCAGAAAGCACTTTTGTTTAATGCAGGAACAACGTGAACTGTAATGATCCAAGTACTCTCCTTGCTGGCAGTCCTGCGACATCTCAAAGAAGTTGAGTTATTCTCTACAGTGTCAGTTTAAGAAGGCAGTGAAGTTGGTAATGTATAAATACATACATTTATTTCTTGGATTAATGATAAAGAATATTTTAAAAAGATTGCTTCCAGTGAAGATGTATGCACAGAGAAACTCCACCAGTGATACGAGTTTTAGTGTTTGTATGGGGGTAGAGATGCCTTTGCACAGTGTCCACATGAGTTAGTAGGCACTTAACAAAAGCTGTTTCCTTCATATTCCTTTGGTCCCCGTGGTCTCACAACATGTCTCCATTTTTCCACAACATGTTCCAACACAAGATGTATTATGTTGGGATATGATATGAAGAACATGCAATCAACTCTGGTTCCTTCTCTAATATATATCCTGCATTTTTTTTTTTAGTTCATACTATCCTGTCTTCTTGGATTATTACAGCAGCCTTTAGAATGTTTTCTTACCTCTAAATTAGTCTCCTATCCAATCTGTTCTCTATGCTGAAGCTTCCCCTTCAGCCCTCCTTCTTACAGTGGTTTCTCTGAAAGTCTGGTCATGTTACCTTTCTAAACAAATCTATTCAAGGCGTTCTCTGAGGCACTCGTCCTCAGGGGTGGCATCTAAGACTCTTTATAACTGGCCCCAGGCCCCCCTCCAAGCTCACCACTTCACATGCCAGTTTTACTCCACAGTTCAGCTACAAGAATGCTTGTCCAATTCTGTGAAAATGCCAGTCTCTTGTCTTTACATTTGCACCTGCTGTGCAGACTGCCCGAAGTGTGCTCCTCCTATTACTTTTTGTCTCTTACTTGTCCTTTGTATCTTGATTCAGGTAACAGTTCTGTGGATGTTCTGTCATAACTTTTGGGTTCCTAACACTGAATACTGCATGCTGTATTAAAAGAACACCTTTCTTTCTCTTATTACAGTAAGTTTTTTGAGGCCCTAAATTAAGATTTGTTTTCTGCTTACTCAAATACTCTACCCAGTGCTTGGCACATAGCATATGCCTTTAATAAATGGACTTTTTTTAAAAAAAGATTTATTTTTATTATTTTTATTGGAAAGGCGGATATACAGAGAGGAGAGACAGAGAGGAAGATCTTCTGTCCGATGATTCACTCCCCAAGTGAGCCGCAACGGCCAATACTATGCTGATCCGAAGCCAGGAGCCTCTTCCGGGTCTCCCACAGGGTGCAGGGCCCCAAAGCTTTGGGCCGTCCTCGACTGCTTTCCCAGGCCACAGGCAGGGAGCTGGAAGGGAAGCGGGGCCGCCGGGATTAGAACCGGTGCCCATATGGGATCCCGGGCGTGCAAGGCAAGGACCCAATTGCGCCGGGCCCAATAAATGGACTTTTAATGAATTTGCCTTCTCTTCTCCACAGAACCTGGGATAGTAACTTCCAATTGTCATATAGTCTACAGTGAGGTGTTATACAGTGATTGAGATGAAATTGTTCAGTGGGGTTTCCTGGGCCTCAAAGTTTGATTTTTAAGTAGTCCTTTTCCCTATGAAAATGAGTCTTGGGGCCCGGCATCATAGCTTAGTGGCTGAGGTCCTTGCTTTGCACGTGTCGGGATCCAATATGGTCTCCGATTCTAATCCTGGCTGCCCTGCTTCCCATCCAACTCCCTGCTTGTGGCCTGGGAAAGCAGTTGAGGATGGCCCAAAGTCTTGGGACCCTGCACCCACATGGGAGACCTAGAAGAGGCTCTGAACTTCTAGCTTCAGATTGGCTTAGCTCTGGTTGTTGCTGCCACTTGGGGAGTGAACCATCAGATGGAAGATCTTCCTCTCTGTCTCTCCTCCTCTCTGTATATCTGACTTCCCAATAAATAAAACAAATCTTAAAAAAAGAATCTGTCTTTCCAATAAGGAAAATGAGCCTTGGGAGTAGCATAAAAGTCTAGGAAAAAGTATTTTCTTTTTAGATAAATTCTGCTAATATTAGGTAAATCTGGAAAACCAACTGATATGGTAACAGAATCCTGTAACACACAAAAAGAAAAGATTTATCAAATGGTCTTTCCAAGGAGGAGAGAACAAATGCTACAGAACCAGCTGCTGTTGCAAACAGCAAGAAACAGTAATCTTAGCAGTGCTGCCATGTGCCACGGACTTGTTAAAATCACTGCACGGAGATTCATTCACATAATATTAAAAATAATTCTGAGTTAGGCACTATTATTATTCCCACTTTACATGTGAAGAAGCTGGGGCATGGAGAGGTTAATTCCACAACTACACATCTAATGAATGGTACATGTGACCAGGCAAAAGACCAGGCAGTCTTTTTCCAGAGTCGGCTCTGAACCATTATGCAAAGCTGAACATGCTCATTTCTATATATGGAGGAGTTCCCAAATTGATGGAAATGTACTTTCTATTACTTTCCTAGCAACTGACCTATCCCCCTTGTGAAGATAACAGAGGAGAAATCCAACAGCTGTAATAGAACAGGTGTTTTCTTTCAGCATAGCTAGCTGGTATACAACCTCAATTATATTCAAATAATCTGGTAGGGACCAGTACTGTGAATAGTGTTGCTGCCTGTATTACTGGCATCTCATATGGGCACCAGTGCTCCTTGCTGATGGCCTGGGAAATCAGCAGAAGATGTCACAACTGCTTGGGCCCCTGAACCAACAGGGGAGGCCTGGGAGAAGCTCCGGGCTCTGTCTTTGGACATGCCCAGTCCAACCCATTGCAGCTATTCGGAGAGTGGACCAGTGAATGGAGATCTTTTTCTCTGACTTTCTTTCTCTTTCTGTAACTTTCAAATAAATAAATAAATGAAAAAAAACTGATTTAACCTATTTAGGCAGTGAGAGTTAATATCTATTTAAACTATTTAAAACTCAGACTTCTAAGGCTATTGGAAATCTTTGCTTAGAAAAATTCAAATTCAAATGAAGTACCAGAAAACACTTCTCATCTTGACCCATATTGGGGAAACATGATCAGATCAGCAAATCAGCTTTCTAATTGAAGAATAATTGAAGAATACTTTTATGGGGTGGGGGGTATGCAGAGAAAAAAAATGAAATGAAAACTATTTTTACATTTCTACATTTTCAATATACTATGTTAGACCATTAGTCTAAATAACATATTTTTTGGCAAAAAGAAACACACCTGATGGTTATTTCTAACATTTTTTTCTTTAAAGATTTATTTTATTTATTTGAAAGGCAGAGTTACAGAAAAAGACAGCTTAGTCTTTTATCTGCTAGTTCACTCTCTGAATGGTGGCAATAGGCTGGGCTGGCCAGTCCAAAACCAGGAACCAGAAGTTTCTTCTGTGTCTACCGTGTGGGTGTAGGAACCAGATAGTTAGAGCATCCTCTGTTGCTTTTCCAGGCACACTAGCAGAGAGCTGGACTTGAAGTGGAACAACCAGGCATCCTTCTGGGATACTGGCACGGAAGGTGGTGGCTTAACACCCCTAATTCTAATTCTTTACATTCTCTCCTAAACCCATTGAAACAGGACCTTCCTTTAAAATCCGAACTTCCTTTATGAACCAAATAGCACTTTTCTCAGAAGCCATATTTGCTTAAACAGATATTTTCCTTATTATTTCTCAAGGCTATTGCCCTATATAGGTGAGTAGAAAAACCAAATAACAAAAAGGATATGTATAATTCTTCTAACTCAGCATTTTTTCATGAATTATTTGTGGTTATTTTAAAAGTAAAAATAAGGGTGGATTTTGTGGCACAGCTAGTTAAACTGCTGCTTGGGACACTCACATCCTGTACTGGAGTAGGTCTGAGTTCCTACACTCCTGCCCTTGTTTCTAACTTCCTGCTGTAGCATCTGGGGAGGCAGCAGACCTCTGCCACCACCGGAGACTCAGGGTTCTAGCTCCCAGCTTCAGCCTGGCCCACCCTGGTTGCTGTAGGCATTTGGAAAATGAACCAGCAGTTGAAGATCTCTTCTTGTTTCCCCTTTGTTGTTCTACCGTTCAAGTAAATGAAAATAAACAAACTATTTTTAAAAGTAAAAATGTAATTTTCACTAAGAATAACTAGGGGACAGTATGTTAAGTACATTGTTAGATCATGTAAATCATATTTGAAGTAAGTAGTTCCTCTGTATTTTGAGTTGATATGGTCTATACAATTGAAATACCATTTAATAGGCATCTTTTCCAAAATATTTCTTTTTCTTTCTTTGCCTTTTTGACTTATTATTGTCAGAACCTAATAGTTTATATTTTGATTTCTGTTAGGATCCAACAACACTCCACTGAAGTATATAGCATAATATATCTAAAACATTTAAAGAATAGTGTTATCCTTATTATTTGTGACACAGTTAATATACAGCCTAAGTATAAGGTTCTGAAGCAGTTTTACTGGGAAGAAATTGAAGTTAAACACTCAGTGTTCTGGCTGACAGATAGACACTTGGATTTAGACCTGTGCAATTTAAAAATGGTCAAAGTATTAAGCTATTAATAATGGGGCAAGTTCTCTGTGTAACAAAGATAGCATCATTACAATGTTCTGATAAGATGTTGATGTTCTAAAAAGCATGTTTATGACTTCTAGATATTGTATCTCTATAGTTAGCACATTTTTAAATAAAATAATTAACTTAGTTCTGAAATTCCTAGTTATCTTTTATCTAAATATCAATTTCCCATGAAAATAACACAAATTAAAGTGGAAGAATCAGTTATTTTTGGAGAGGTAGGGGAAGGAAAAACAAATAAATTATGTCTGTTTATAAAGATTGTTTTGCTTCTCCAACACACTTTGTGTAACATTTGTAAAAATAAAATAGTAGTAGCAAAAAGTGAATTTATAATCTAAAATGATTTGTAAATTGACAAGATGTAAGAACTGGAAGTAATGGAAACTGATCTTTAATTAAACGGGTGCTAGTCAGCCCTGCTGCAATAGCTTTCAGAGGGAAAAATGTAAATCACATCTCTTGGGAATTGTCTGCAGAATATCTTAAATCACAGGAATAAAAAAGAATTTAGCAGGATTGATCTGTATATCTTCCTCTTGTTTACAGAAGTGTTTGGTTGTCAGGCTCCATCTCCGATATTTTGTTTTTCATTTTAAAGTATCGAAGCAAATACCAGAAAACTAGTTTGGGTTTCACAGAAAGGCGAAACTTTTAAAAATCTTCCTGCAACACATGTACAAAACAAATGTTCATTCTAAGTTGTATTTTACATTTAATTTGTACTTTGTGCATTTAGTATGACTGGCTCTCAGAGTGAATGTCACATTTAAAAACATTAATTAATGTACATAAAGATGTATTTATTTCAGAGGATAAAAGGTGGTAGGGAGGGACAAGGGGAAACAGAGGTGAGGCAGTACTCCTGTTGCAGGTGTACTTTCCAAATTCCCGACAACGGCAATGGAAAGGGAATGTTATCCAGGCCTCCCACGCAGGTTAGAGAAACTCAGCTACTTGACCCATCACTGTTGCCTACCAGGTTTGCCCTGGGCTGGAAGCTGAAATTAGGAGCAAGAGCCAGGAAATGAAATGAGGCACTCAAAAATGGATATGGGCACCTTAACTGGTAGGCCAAATGCCAAACCACTCATTTTTATTCTTGAACCAAATTAGTGTGTAATGAACTGGGAGGAAGAAGTTAAAAACAAAACTGATTTTATAAATTTACCTGGCTATATACAGCCATGTAGCTTTAAGGTCAGTTACCAACATTTGAGTTAATAAAGAACAAGACCCACAAATAGCAAGTAAAATTTTTGAGGGAAGTATTCTATATTTATGTTGTATTTTCCAATGTGAGACTTCTCAGTAAGATAATTAGTAATTATGTCATTCAGTTCTATCTAAACAGTACCACATCCAATGAAGACACAGAGAAAAAGCCAGTATTTACCCAATGTATTTTAGAACTTAATAGGACATACTCATTCAAATATAAAAGGCGTTCAGTAAACTTTTTAGAAATATTTCCACATTTAATTCCAACCAATAAAGTCAGTGATACTGTAAGCTAATCAAGCCTTACCAATTGCAGTGTTTGGTATATTAAGTTTGCTTAAGTGATCTTTTTGTGCTTTTGCTAGCAGGCATATTCTGTGAAATTCTTCCTTCAGATCCCAGAAAGTCTTCTCTACATTACCCCTAAAAAAAAAAATCGATATTTTAAAACATAAAACTAAAACCCCAAATGTTTTTAAACATGTTGAAACTTACAATGCAGCACTTTATATACCACAAAATAATTGCTGAAATGTTAAAAAATATTTTACATTCCTAGAAAACGTTCCCAAAGACAACTATAAGCAAAAGTTGAAAGTTCTAATACATTAACATAGTAAAGAACAGCCTATTTATCTACTTACTCAATAAGTCCCAGTGATACTGGTTGTCTTATCTCATTCTTACATTAGAAATGTTAATGCATTAATTTTTGTTTTCTGTAAACATGTAAATAGAATATTAAATATTACTCCTTTGGTAAGGTTCTCATTAGGATCTATTCATTTAAAACAATAGAACCATAATACTTGATCTATTGAAACAGCAGAGGTCTAGAGAACTTGACCTTTACGATCAGCTCTGCTATTACTATATTATGCTTATTTAGGTCATTTTAACACATAGGAGGTTTGCATTGGTTTCTTCCTGGTATAAAAAGCTGTAATTTGGTTTAATTGCTAAAAATTAAAAATATATAAACATTAAAACATATATCAGTATTTATGACTTTTGAGAGTTCGTAAAAAAGGATGTGGAACTACCTTTCATGGAATAAAGGAACGCCAAGACTCCTTGCTGATGTTTCTTTTCTAGGAGAAGAAAGCTCTTGGTTTCTTACCTTAAAAACACAAAAGGATCACTACTTTAGATTACTTCCAAAGGAGACTGGGCTAGCAGAAAATCCAAGAAAAACTATTTATCTCCTTTATTGAAATATAAGTTGAAGCAGCTTACAAAGATATATATGAAAGTTTTATTTTTCTTTAAATTAGAATAACTAAGAAGTGTGAATATATGAAGTATTTTTGGCAGTTTCTTTAATTACTATTTACCACACTGGTAATTGGAGGTAAATTCAATCATTGCTCAAAATCCTGCTCTAATAACAAAATATCTCATATGACCAGAAACGGGCTGGGGGAAAATCTGAGTGCTCACTTGTTTGGTATTCACCAATAATGGAGGGTACATTTAAATAAATGTCTTTATCTTTTGGTACAAATTCTCTGTGGCGGAATGCAACAGTTGCAGAGGAAGAAAGAAAATCTTAGGCTCTTACAACATCTTACGATTTGACAAGCATTAAAAAGGTTTTATAAAGACACTGCAATTATGTATTTAGGCTGCTTCTAACACAAGTTCTTGCCTTTCACTCCCACCTTGTGGTTTACACTGGTATTACATTTAATCTGCAAAAGTCAATACTTAAAAACATGTTGCAATAATTTATTCTATGTCTCAGATAAAAAGAAAAAACTTTGCAATCATATCTAGAAGGGCATGTGAACTTTCAGAAGTACAACTGACAGATCCAGAGGTGTGAAGATATCCTAATACTATATAATCATAAATGAAAACTCAACCAATTCTTGTTTAACTTAAAATTTAAAACCAGGGAACATTTAGCTTTAGCAACTTTTACATCTCATTCAGGCCAGGTTATTGTAGTTACTTTTAAAATAGAATATTATGTTTCACTTTTTTTCATAATGGCTTATTTATTTGAAATGCAGAGTGACAGAGAAAAGTTAGAGATATCTTTTGCTCTTTGGTTCACTCCCAGATGCTAGCATTATGCAAGGTTGAAGCCAGGAACCAAGGATTCTGACTTGGTCACCATGTGGCTGGGCCATCATGTTCTACCTCCCAGGGGCTTTAGCAGGAAGCTAGAGCAAAAGCCCAGAGTAGGCAGGACTTGACCCAGGCACTCCACTATGGGATGCAAGCAACTTAACTGCTACACTGTAACGTCCACTCCACTTCACTGTTTCTAATAATTTGGATGTATCCCCTTTTAATCTCACTCATCAACAGATTCCTTTTGCAAAGGGTGTTGGCACTGATTGCTACTTGGGATAGTGCATCACCTAACAGTGCCTACTGAAGTTCTCCCTCCACTTCTGATGAAATTTCTTGCCACGATGGCCCAGGCAGCATGTCCTCACCACCCAGGTGGGACCTGGACTGGGTTCAGAGCTCCTGGACTCAGCCCAGCCTGTTGTTAACATCTCAGAAGTGAATCTGCAGATAGAAGACATCTGTCTCTCTTCTAAGTAAAACGAAAAGGAATTTAAAAAAGGGAAACTTTGTTAGAAAGTTTCTTAAGTCTTAATTATTTAAGATGAAGACTTGAGTTCAGCTTGCTTTTCTTGAAAGTCTTACCTTCTTCAATTTGCTTACTGTTTTGATTTCCCATCTTCTAAACATTTACTGTAATCATATAGAACTAGTCTAATACAATTGTGCAATCCAATTTGTGATTTTGTATAATCATATTGTCAGACTGAGGCAAAATAATAAATAATATATTTTATAGCTGCATGCTGTTTGACAAATAGGTAGGCCATGTCTTCTTCCAGATCGAAACTTCTTTATTGAGCTTTTTAAACCAGTTACATCAGAAGAAATGTTGCCATTTGTAGTTTGTTCTTAAAACTCCAGGGTTTTCTTTGGTGTTACATGAAATTGCGCAATTAGACTACCCAAAGGATTTTAGTGTGAACCAGGAAGAAAGACATTTTAAAGCCAGCCAGCATTCAGACATTTCAAAAAACCAAACTTTTGAAAAACTATGATTAAATATATATCAACAAGATCATAGAAGTATGTTAAGAACAAAAACACTTTACAATTTAGCAATGTTAAATCATAATAAAATGACTAAATAGAGGGAACTGCTAAAAATAACTACTAGAAATTCTCAAAGGGGAAAAAATCATTTTATCAGAACTAGGAAGAAACAGAAAGAAGCACTCTAGTTTTAGACTTAAAATGAAGATAGTTACAGAGTGGTACATTCACTTTCAAAGTCCTAGTTTTGACACAAATGAGGTTAGACTACGTCTCCCCTCTGCAAATGTATGACAGTAAATAAACATTAAAAAGAAAAGTATAGTGAGAACAAGTTTCTAATTCTTTAAAGAAAAGCATATGGCTGGTGGGAGGTAAGATAAGCTTTCCTTTGGTTGATAAGTAACTGGCATCACCTTATTTCTGTGATGTTTAGATGTGATAACTAGTAAGAATCAATTTATTAGGAAAAGATTCTTTAGGTGTACTGGCAGGAAATAATGGGAAGATTCAAACTTATTAAAGATTTCTTCTTTTTTCCTTTGAAAATTATTTGTGTACTTATTTTACTAACTCAAAAGGCAAAGAGAGGACCAGTGCCATGGTTTAGCAAGCTAATTCTCTTCCTGAAAAGCTGGCATTCTACATTGGCACAGTTTTAGGCCTGGCTGCTCCATTTCTGATCAGGGTCTCTGCTAAAAGCCTAAGAATACAGTAAAGGATGGTCCAAAGCCTTGGAACCTTGCACCCACCTTGGATACCTGGAAGAAGCTTCTTGCTCCTGGCCTTGAAAAGGCCCAGCTCTGGCTATCACAGCCAGACTCTGGGATTGAATCAGTGGATGGAAGCTCTCTGTAATGTTTTCATGTAAAAAATAAATCTTTTTAAAGATATATGCATTTTAAGATTTGTTTATTTTTACTGGAAAGGCAGATCTACAGAGAGGGGAAGACAGATAAAATCTTTTGGTTCGCTCCCCAAGTGGCTACAATGGTTGGAGTTGAGCTGATCTGAAGCCAGGAGCTTCTTCTAGGTCTCCCACTTGGGTGCAGAGTCCCAAGAGCTTGGGCCTATCCTCTTTTGCTCTCCCAGGCCACAAGCAGGGAAATGGAAGTGAAGTGAAGCAGCTGGGACATGAACCAGCTCCCATGTGGGATTACTGGCAAAGCAACCTAATCACTGAGCCATCATGCTGAGCCCAAAGTAAATAAATCTGAAGCAATACAGCAAAAACTTTAATAAAAAGATAAAGTTACAGAAGTTTTCTTTCAGCTGGCTCACTCTCTAAATGTTTGTAATAGTTAGGATTGGTCAGGCCAAACTCATTTTTGGTCTTACATGAGTGGCAGGAACCTAGGTACTTCAGCTATCATCTGCTGCCTCCTAGGCTTTGTTTAGCAAGATCCTGGGTTGAAAGCAGAGCTGGGACTTGAACCCAGGGAGGGAAGATAGCAGCCCAAGCAGTGTCTTTTTTTTTTTTTTTTCTTTCAATTAACTTATTTACTTTAAAGACAGAGTTACAGAGAGAGAGAGAAAGAAAGAGAGAATATCTTTCATTCAATTCAGTCCCCAAATTACGCTGCAACGGCTGGAGCAGGGCTGGTCTGAAGCCCTGGAGTTTCTTCTGGATCTCCCATGTGGGTATGTGGGTGCAGGGGACCAAGCATTTGAACCACCCTCTACTGCTTTCCCAGGCACATTAGCGGGAAGCTGGGTTGGAAGTAGAGCAGGCAGGACTTAAACTGATATCCATATGGAAGGCCAATACTGCAGGAAGAGGCTTAATTTATCATGCCACAGTCCTGGCCTCTAATATTATTTTCAATTGTAGCAACTGGGACACAACTTTCTGAAACTAATCATTATTTTTCAAAGGACTTAGGATCTGTATGCTCAATGCCAGGACAAAAAAGCATATTTTTCTTTTTACTCTCAAAAATCATCCAAGTGGACCCCATATTGCAGGAAAATTAAATGTAACTTCAGATAAGAAAATATGGGAATTTTCAACATTATATTTTAAGAGATCTTAAGCATTTCATCATTCAACAAATGAGTTTATTTTGAGGTACTAAAACTTAAAATACTTATCATAAACTGTCCCAAGTATTAATTTGGAAATGTCAAACTTGTGGAAGGAATGCTGAAATAGGAGTTTTGCACATCACACTTTCATATACACTTCCAGAATGGTGCCAGATAAGTCATTCAACTAAATCCATTAAGTTAAACCCATCTGCAACAGTTGGAAGATGTTATGAAATGTTTCCTTAAATTTCCTCTTATGAGAATTGGGAGACTTTTGACTTAGTGTAAATTAATTTGAGTTTCTCATGGAAGGGTATTATATATATAAAACCCATATGTTTAAGGGCTAGTTAAAATGCAATCATATTTAGGGAGAAAAAAGTGGCTAAAATATTATTCCAATACAAAATTAACTGTTAAAAAACTACTTGAGACAGCAAAGCAAGACATAGCTGGATCAATGTAGAGACACAGATAGCAAATTCCCACCTGCTGGCTTACTCCCCAGATGCCTACAATGACTGTGGCTGGGCAGGGTCCAAAGCTTAGGTTACGAATGCAGTGTAGGTCTTCCACGTGGGTTGGCAGGTACCCAAATACTTGAGCCATCACTGCTGTCTTGCAATGAAGGTATGCACTAATGGAGTCAGGAGCGAGAGCTTGGAATTTAACTCAGGTACTCTGATATTGTGGAAGGTGGGCATCTTAACAAGTAGGTTGCTTCTTTTTTTTTTTTTTTTAAAGATTTATTTATTTTTATTGGAAAGACAGATTTACAGAGAGCAGGAAAGACAGAAAGAAAGATCTCCCATCCACTGGTTTACTCCCAAAATGACTGCAATAACTAGAGCTAGAGCTGAGCTAGGCCAGGAGCCAAGAACTTCTTCTGGGTCTGCTATGTGGGGTGCAGGGTCTCAAGGTATTGGACCATCTTCCACTGCTTTCCCAGGCCACGAGCAGGTAGCTGTATGGGAAGTGGAACATCCACAACACAAACCAGCATCCAGGACTAGAACTGGTGCCCATGTGGTCTGTCAGTGCCTGCTGTTGGAGGATTAGTCTGTTCAGCCATGGAGCTGGTTCCAAGTAGGTTTATTTTCATGCAAATAATGGAAAATGGTTTGTACATTCCACAATCTGATATCAACCTCTCAAAAAAGGTGCATATTTTGCCTAACAGTTGCTCTTCTTACGATTGGTACCAAAAGTCAAATATTATTCTTCTAACAAAATATGGAAGGTAGCATTGTGGCTTGGGGGGTTAAGATGCTGTTTGCAAAGCCAACATCCCATATTGGAGTGCAGTTCAGTCCTGGCTTTTCTGCTTCTAAGCCTGCTTCCTAATGTGCCTTGGAAAGCAGTAGTTTGATGGTCCAGTGCTTCGGTCACTGCCAAACACGTAGGAGACTTGGATCGAGGTTTTAGCTTCAGCCTACCCCAGGTCTGGCTGCTGTGGTCATTTGGGAGGTAGATCACATGGAAGACCTCTCTCTTACTCCCCCTCTGTGTCACCCTGCCTTTGAAATAAGTAACTATTTTAAAGTGTATGTATGTGTGTGTGTATGTGTATAAAGTATATATGTGTGTATATATATGTATATATAAAACATGGCAAAACAATGAAAAATTTTCATGTGAAATCATGTTTTTCTATAAATATTTTTAAAACTTGACATGGAAATTTTGGATACTACAGTCAGTAATCCAGTGTGTATTCTCTCACAGGTAAGGGACCTGCCACAAAGCTAGTATTAGATAAAGAAGGTATGTTTTCAGTGATACATAGCTGAACCATGGCTGACTCTTTATTCAGTATTCATATCAAAGGCTCCTTTGAAAATTTAGTTGGGTTCTTTGCATGCAAACTTTTCCTTACTTTTAAGGTGACTCAGGTAACTGAGTACAGCCAACTTTTTCTTTAATTTCTGGAAGAGGTCAATAGAATTATGCTTTTAAAACATAAAAGAGAACTATGTTCTTAATTGGATCTGTGTAAAACAAGCCAGGATGAGATGGGAAGGATTGCTACAGGGAATATAAATTATGAAATAGTTATAAATCCTAGCTTGATAAAATTCATGACAGCAAAAGGAAAAATGAGCAGTGTAAAAGAAACCAAAAATAAAGATTCACTTATCACTTAGATTTTTGAAATCTAAGAATAAAATGCAAAAGGAAAAACTGAGATTGAATATTTCCTTGCCCATTTTAGATGCACTGAAACAAAAGATGCTATGGTGGTGTCAGCACTGGATATGGCTGAATTAGGAAGAAAGTGGAAAAAAAGCGCTGAGAGTGAAAAAGAAGTGGCAGAAAACAGAAGCAGAAAGAAATTACAAAAAGAGGTTTGGTAAAAATAGAAAAACATCGTAAAATGAGTCTGAGAACAAAAGGTTAGAAAAAGATGTAAGGAAACTATGCATGAACTTATGGCCATGTGAAACCCATGCTTCTCTCATCATCATTAACATTCCTGAAAATCTAGCAAGTAAGAGGAGCAGGAATCCTAGGGCCCTTGTCTGTTCCACATGACACACTGTGCTAGGCAGACACACTGCCAGTGCGGGAACAACTCCAGACGAAATGGGATCCATCCCAGAGTTCTGAAGGAAGTGGCAAGAAAAATAAACAATATAAAAATAAAATGAAACACCCCCACTACTTCCAAGTTCTTTACAGGGTTCCAGTTCAACGTAAATTTCAAGAAAACCTATCTATTCAGGGCTACAACAAAACATATTCTTAACCCTTTACCACAACTGCTACAATTACTATAATTTCCATTATATCAGAGCCAACTTTACCTTCTCCCTTTTTGAAGTCTTCTACTTTATTTTAGGTCCCTTTTGTGTACATCTTTCTGAATTTTCTTAAAGGAAAAAAAAATTTTTCTTTTGGGGGATGTCTTTTCATGCAAAATAGAAACTGAGTAAGTGGCTAATTTAAGTAACATTTCTCATACTCCTTCCTCCACCACTACATTTTACATGAACTGATAAGGGGAGGGGCTGGGTTAAGACCTGTGGTACAGAAGGTTAAGCTGCCCACATATCAGAGTGCCTGGACTGAGACCCACCTCTGCCTTTGCCCCCCAATCTACCTTCCTACCAATGCACCTGTGAGGCAGCAGACGATGGGTCCTGCACTGAATGTCTGCTATACCACGTGGGGGAATCCAGATTAAGTCCCTGGCTCCTGGCTCTGGCTTGGCCCAACCCCAGCCTGATTTTGGGAAGTGTATCAGTGGATGGAAGATCTCTTTGTTACTCTACCTTTTCAATTCCTAAAAACAAGCAGGTAAACATTTTTAAAAATAAAATGAACTGATTTGTGCAAACAGCAAGTAGCTATTATTTAATCAATTTGCATATTTTACTTTAACCCATATAATTTTATGAGTTAAACACTTAACTATGACTTTATTTCTTTTACAGATTTAGTTTATTTATTTGAAAGGCAGAGTGACAGACAGAAACAGATCTTGCATCCACTAATTCGCTCTCCAAATGGCTGTAATGTCTGGGGCTGGGCTAGACCTGGACTAGGTGCCAGAAGCTTTAACGGATGCAGGAACTACAGGTGGCTGCTTTATTTGCTATCTTATGCCAACCCTCTTACTGGTGATCCTAAAGTCTACTTAAAACCTTGGTTAGCTTTGAAGAAATAAATCATTTGCCTATTGTCCAGTAGGTGGAGTAGCAGAGACTGGAACACACATTTTTCTGTCCTGGTCTTTAACTACTCAGTCGCAGTGCTTGGCTGCTAGAGAAGCTAAGTGATAACAGTTATCCAGTTTGGTGAAAGAAATGGAGAATGCTAACACTTCCATACAGCACCAAGGCAAACTAATTTTAAGATTCTAAAACTTGCCTGCCATATAATGAAAGAAAGTACTTCTCACAGAGTAGTTGGTATAGGCCAAGTCTGATGTTTAAATATTGCCTATGGAGGAAAATTTTTATTTTGGTATGACCTTTAAAAAATATGTTGAAGGATGTAGAAATAGAAATATATATCCCAAAATAGGTTAGACAGATTTATTCAAGTTCTGCCAAACTATTCAATTGTTGACATGAACAATTTGGCAACAATTTCTTAGCCAAAATTTCACACTTTAGGTGTTTTTCAAGCATGGTATAGACGTTAAGCATCTAGCAAAGCATGACAATGGAGTACATTACGATTAAATCTCTCAAAATCTAACTCCCTTCCCAACTACCTTCCTGTAGAGGATTTGACATAGTTAAAGAAACTAAGAAATTCCTTGCCTATAATTTTGATACCTCAATCATCTCAGGGTTGGTGTTTGCTCCCTTGTAACTGGATTTCATTCTCTGGGCTCTTAGGTTGAGTAATTTTGGACAGTATCTGAATATTGTGAATATTATGTTGTGGAGACATTATGTTGCCTAGTGCCAAACGGTGTTTGTGGTTTTGCTTTACTGGCCATTAATCTGGCTTGCTGAGACTCCAAACTGTCACGCCTATGGAGAGTAATAGCTCAGATCTCAGTTTTTAGTAACTAGCTGCAAATTGCTTTCAGTTAGTCTCAGTAACTTTGAAACAGTCAAGAGATTAGGGCTGATTTTTAACACAAAATTTACTGTCCTTCCACATATTCGCTTCAGAATATGACATTTCTGCCAAGTTTTGGTGTTTCCATTGGCTCCTCTTCTTAGGTCTTCAATACAGATATTCTCTAAGATTCAGAACTGAGTGTGCCATTCTTCCCTAGTTATACACCTTTAGTTATATTATTTATTCTCATGTCAGCTCTTCCTACATGGCATCTCTTCAAGACCAGCCTCTAAACTTAATAGACATTCCCAAGTTTCAGTCTGTTACATATGTTTTCTCTGGTCTTGTTGGTGCCTATTCTACACTATAAAGTTTTTAAATACACATAATGCTTTCCTCAAATATGGTCTGCACTTCTAATCTCCATTCTTTTCAGCATAAACATTGTTGGGGGGGTATGCAATTACCCTACCAATTAAAGTGCTCTCTATGATACCTGCATCCTATGTTGGAGTATCTGGTTTGATACTCAGTTCCAGCTTTGTTCCTGACTCCAGCTTCCTGCTAATGCAGACACTAGAAGGTAGAAGTGATGGTTTAGGAAACTGGGTTCCTACCATGGAGCTCTGTGGGAGACTTGGATTGAGTTCCCAGCTCCTGGATTCAGTCCCAGCAAGGCTTTGGTGGCTGGAGGCATTTGGCAGGTGAACCTGCAGATGGAAGATATTTCTCTATCTCTCTGCCTTTCATAAATAAAAATAAAAGAAGGAAGGGATGCTTATTAGAAAATTAGGAAGGGAAGTTTTAGATTTGACCTTATAAAAAGTGACTACTTTGTCTTCAGGAAGAGAAAACAGATGGGACAGGAATGAAGATTCTCAAGCATAAGTAAAGAGGTGAGTGGTTAACATTAGCAAGAAGGAAAGAAAGATTGACTGTGTCTCTGTGAGCATTTAGCAGGAACATAGTCCACATTGCTATTGTTAGTTAATACAGATGTCAGCGGCCATGATAAAATGTAAAGGCAATGTGCTGTTCGTGATGGTAAAGAGTGAAGGACAATTAGGGACAGAAATAACCCTTGTATCCTCAATAGGCATAGAATTGATGAAACTAAGTTAAAATGCAAATACCATTCTGCTATTGGAAAGCATAATGAAAGACAGAAAACAAAAGATAGTTAGAATTATTATCTTCCCAAAGAGCTTATCGAGAAGAAAAAAAATCACAGATTAATGACATAGAATTTTAGGGGAAAAACTTAAGGTCCTGGGATATACATCTCAACAACTGAATATATGGAAATATGGTTAACTGGCAATGAAAACAATTTTTCAGGGATTAAGTTATCATTCAAAACATAGTGAAGTTTGTCTAAAGATGCAACAGAAACCTAATGTGCAAACAAAAATTCTGGCGAGCCTTCTTCCCATGTTACTCCCTTAAATTCTAACATTTTCTTAGGGCTACAATTCTAAAAGCACGTTAAAGTACAACATGGGAAAATATATTAACTAGAGATCCTATTGTTCAACAAAACAAAGTAGTTTTTTATTTCTGATGTCAGGGCCTATAAATATTCTATACTCTTAGAAGCTTGTTACATAGAGTACATAGTATATAGATTTTCACAGATCCAGGGTTATGTAGAATATAGAAGAAAATACATCAGGTAGATCTCTGTTCCTATGTTGTCCTTCAACAGATAAGAATCAAAATTCAGTCTATTCTAAAGTTGATACTACAGATGAAAATAACCAAGAATATCCAGAGTGGTTCATATCCCGGTTCTGTGCTAATGTGCCTGGTAGGGCAACAAAAGGTGACTCAACACTGCACCCACATGGAGGACCTGGATTTGGCCTGACCCAGCACTGGCTGTTGTAGCCATCTGCAAAGTGAACTAGCAGATGGAAGATTCTCTCTCCTCTCTCTGTAATTTTGTGATTCAAAAATAACTAAGTATCTCTTTAAAAAAATTATATAAAGTTCTGATTATACCTGGGACATGTTGCAAGGCTGTATTTGCAGTGGGAAAACTTGGAAAAATAATGTGATTTTTGGACAAAAAAAAAAAAAGGTTTACTGCTTGCTATAAAACAATCGGTTCCCCAAGTTTAATATTTCTCTTTTTACTACAGTCACTGCTGCATGTACAAGTATCCATATGGGTCTGTTTGTGTCACCTCCTAGGTGGGAATCAATGGAAATAAAATGTTGTTGCTGTTTATTATGCGGTGCGTTTCAAAGTCCTTTTTTTCTGGTCCATTCGGTTTTCTTCTAGTATCAAGAAATGGCAGCTGGCTAATAACGTGCAAACAGAATAAAGTCAAATTTCAGACTCTGATCTTCATACAACGCTACAGCCATGATACCATGACCATGTTATCTGTATTCTTTACTATGTTAATATTTGCACCGATGGTTTCAAAAATAACCATGAATAAAACTGCTTGTGCCTGAGCATGACTAAAGTCATGATGATACCAAACTATAGAAGTCATTGTCTTCTTCAATGTCACACACTGTTGAAAAACAAAAACAAGCAAAAAATATGCCAGTTTCAGCTAAGAGTGTCCCTAATTACTAATTTTGTTGAATTTTGATCTCACTAATACATTTTTAACATACAGTGGGAAGTATGCATAGAAGACTCCTTCTGCACAATGAAGTACAATGGCTGTCTCAGGGATAAGCATTTGGGCAACTGAGTTGCGAGCTCAACCAGTAACTGTTTTTATTGGAATGCCATTTTCCTTTCAAAGAATGACTGACATGTAAGCAATGGTGATGCAGACATTTTCTCAAAAGCACATGAAGTTGGCCTGTCATATTAAGGAAAACAACTGACGAGACTTGTTGCCAATGATAAAATCTGAGTTTTCAAGTGAAAATTAAAAATTTTAGAACACTTGTACCTGTCACAGTAAGCTTGACAGCTATCCAATAATGAAAAGATTTTTCTGATGAGATCACTGATACTGTTAAATGTGAGTTTTAAATATCATATAAAAAATAAGTAAACATTTGGAAGATCTGTATAATTTAATGAGCCAATATTTTTCAAATGGCCAATTTACAATGTTACAAAATCATCCAGCAGTAAAGGATACATTTAAAATATAAAGTAGACCAATGGCTTTCAATGCAGCATAAAGATTTCTTGATATGCTTTCCAATTTCATAGTACAGCTAACATTAAAGAAACTATTCCACAGTATAGCTAACATTAAAGAAACTATCCTTAGCAAGCTTTAGTGCAGTATCAAAGAAGCATCCCAGTAACTGCTGAAAAGCTTATTAAAGTACTTATCCCAGGCCTGACGCAACAGTGTAGTGGTTAAAGACCTCGCCTTGCACGCTCCAGGATCCCATATGGTTGCCAGTTCTAATCCGGCGGCCCTGCTTTCCGTCCAGCTCCCTTGTTGTGGCCCGAGGAAGCAGTTGAGGATGGCCCAAAGCCTTGGGACCCTATACCTATGTGGGAGATCTGGAAGAGCTCCTGGCTCCTGGCTTCAGACTGGCTCAGCTCCAGCCGTTGCTGTCACTTGGGGAGTGAACCATTGGATGGAAGATCTTTCTCTCTGTATATCCGCCTTTCCAATAAAAATAATAATAGCAATAATAAAAAAGTACTTATCCCTGTTTTCAGCTGCATTATTCATGTGAGGCTAGAGTTTCATCAAATAATTTATGAAACAAAACCTAACAGACTGAATGCGGAAGCATTTATAACACTGAAACTAAATCCTTTGAAACATTTTGAGAACAAAAGGATGACAGATTAAACTACAAAAGAAGGTATATTCTTTTTTTTCTGTTATTATTCCTAAAGCTCAGTCCAAATCTTCTGTTTATATATATATATATTTTTAAATTTTTACACAGTCTTACAGGCACTGGGATTCCCCCCTGAAGAAGGTATATTCTTGTAGGAAACAATCTCTTATCTATAAACAGTTTTTCATGCCTTGGTCAGTAGAACTCAGGACTGAACAGGCTATATAAACTTTATTTTGTGTGTTTTCAAGAAGATAAAAAAATTAAAATAAAGAAATGGGAAATGTGAAAAGAGATCATGTGGGGAAGGAGTCAAGGGAGAAAAGCCACAACAGATTCTGAAACCTGCCAGATCATTTAAAAAGAGGCATGTGGGCCTGGCGCGGTGGCGCAGTGGTTAAGGTCCTCACCTTGCACGCCCGAGATCCCATATGGGCGCCGGTTCTATCCCGGAAGCCCTGCTTTCCTTCCAGCTCCCTGCCTGTGGCCCGGGAAAGCAGTCGAGGACAGCCCAAAGCTTTGGGATCCTGCACCCATGTGGGAAACCCGGAAGAATCTCCTGGCTTCAGATCGGCATAGCATTGGCCATTGCGCTCACTTGGGGAGTGAATCATTGGACGGAAGATCTTCCTCTCTGTCTCTCCTCTCTGTATATCTGCCTTTCCAATAAAAACATAATAAAAATAAATCTTAAAAAAAAAAAAGAGGCATGACACTTCTCATTGTTTTTCAAAATTATTTTCAGTACTATAATAATAAAAATATTCTAAAATGATGTAATTAAGTAAAAAAGATGGACCCAGAACAGTAAAATTTTATGATTTGTTGATAATTCAGATTTCTAAAAAAGTTTTTTCAACATAAATTTCAAAGTAATTATTAAAATACTTTAGGTATCAATTTTTTTCTTTGAGTTTAATATTTTTTAGAGTCTGTGATAGCTTCATTGTGACACTTGAGGAAAAACTCTGAAGTTGAATGAATGAATTGGTTGAAGATACTGTTTTTCTTCTAATTATTATCTCCAAATTTATCAACCAAACTTAGTCTCCTTATATATAAAAAGAGGGTAGATTTGATCCAGTCTCTGGAAGCAAAACCAGGAGGAAGGAGGCATTGTTCTGACTAAGGAGGCAAGGATTCCTTGAGTTGCTACGTGCAAACACATGTTTTCCTCCAGCTCTAAGTGAGCCCAGCCTAGGTGGGAATATACCATTGCACACAGTATGCAATTACCATTCTGTCCTAACAAAAGATATAAAGAATACAGTGGCAACTTTTTGAAATGTTGAGTAATGAACATAAGCAATCCATTTTATTTCAATTTTATCTCTTAGAAAAGGCAGAAATCTGTGTTTTTACACAAACTAAATTTAACTTTCTCACAGGAATCACTTGGTAGTTACGTATTTTGACTAAAGGCCTAATTTTTAACTTTGTGCAAAGGGTGAAAAATATATTTATTATGTTTCTGAACACTATATCCTGTTTCTAAGCTTTTATGATGTATATACCAATGGGTGCTGGCTCAACTGTTACCAGCAACCAAGTCATAGGAACTTAACAAACATTGATATAGTTTAGGAGACTTATAGCAGAAAAAATATCTCAGGTACTGACTGAGAGAAACTGTGAAGGTCCCAAACTCAGAGGGAAATTACTAATTGGGAGCTGTACCTGAACGTAGACGTGTGAAAACAGGATATTACAAGCTACAGAAGGAAAGCAGCAAAACTGGGTTCAGTTTCACACACAGGTTGTCTAAACTGTCACAGACAGTAACTAAAGGAATATGTTATGGCTCAATGTCACCCACTGAAGGCCCCTTTATAGTAAAGAGTTACAAAAAGACAGGAAACATCCTCTTCTCTGAGGCTATGATGATTACAGCAAATGTCACTGCTCATTTAAAATCTTCAGTTTGGGGCTG